CAAAACATTTTTGTTTTTCCTTCAAAATCAGTCCAGTTGCCTTTTCAAAATATAAACCAATTTTGATACAGCTATGATCTGGATGACAGAGAATCTTCCCAGACATAGCTAACAAGAATTTTGGAAAGGGAAACAAAAAGAAACCAAAGAGTTGATTCAAATCACTGTGTGGTTTATAACATGTATTAAACTATTTGAAAGAGAGATAATCCAAGAATGCAATTCATGATATTGATGGTTGCAGGGACAAGAAGATTCTGAGTTGATGCCTTGCAAAGTTATGAAATCTCAGACCCGTAAAAATATAAAGCAGATATTTTCTTAGAATCATAAAAACACAGAATGCAAATATTTGACGGGAAATCATCACTTATTAGTTATTTAGATAGTGAAATGGGCCTCAAATAAATTTGAATAACATAAAAAAAAGTAAGGTTCTACATTTAGGCAAGAAAAACCAAATGCACAGGTACAATATAGGTGGGACCTTGCTCAATAGTAGTAACTGTGAGAGGGATCTCGGAGTCTTAGTGGACAGTCACTTAAATATGAGCCAGCAGCGTGCTGCAGCTGCCCAAAAAGCCAACACAGTTTTAGACTACATTAACAGAGGGATAGAATCAAGATCACGTAAAAAGTGTTAATACCACTTTACAATGCCTTGGTAAGGCCACACTTGGAATACTGCATCCAATTTTAGTCACCACAACGTAAAAAAAGATGTTGAGACTTGTTTAGAAAGAGTGCACAGAAGAGCAACAAAGATGATTAGGGGACTGGAGACCAAAACATATAAAGAATAGCTGCTGGAATTGGGTATGTCTAGTTTAACAAAGAAAAGGACTACAGGTGACATGATAGCAGTGTTCCAATATCTCAGGGGTTGCCACAAAGAAGAGGGAGTCAAGCTATTTTCCAAAGCGCCTGAAGACAGGACAAGAAGCAACGATGGAAACTAATCAAGGAGAGAAGCAACCTAGAACTAAGAAGAAATTTCCTCACAGTTAGACTAATTAATCAGTGGAACAACTTGCCTCCAGAAGTTGTGAATTCTCCAACACTGGAAGTTTTTAAGAAGAGATTGGACAATCATTTGTTTGAAATGGTATAGGGTTTCCTACCTGAGCAGGGAATTGGACTATAAGATGTTCGAGGTCCCTTCCAACTCTGTTATTCTATTGTATTCTACTCTAAAAATAAATAATAATCTAGTCCAAACCTGTGCCTAGTAAAAGGATCCCTTGCACAGCCTACCCAACAGATAGTCATCCAATTTTAGTTTAAACACCTCTAGTAAAGGAGGCTCCACTACTTCCCATTAATTCTCAGTTGGTGGACAGCTTTTATAATTAGGACTTGTTTTTCTTGCATCCAACTAAAATAATTCTATCCTGTTTTTCTATGACAGCTTTTCGGATATCTTATAATTAATTGATTTTATTTTTATTTCTCTTGTTAAAATGCCAATAGATTTCCATAATCTAGATCAGAAGAGGAGAATCTGTGATCGTTCAAGTATTGGATTTCCATTTATCCTAGTTAATGTGTCTTTTTTTATATATAAAAAAATAAAGCTTCAAGCTATAGCTCATTATACTTTTAAGAGCCATTGTTCCCATTCCAAAGTTCCTTAACCAAAATAAAAACTGGTTTCCTGAACATTCATATTACAAAAACAAATTTTCTCAGCAAAACATGATTAGAGAAAAGTGAACTCTCCTGAAAAGTCTTGGGAAAAAACTAGGATATGGCATGTTCTGTATCCCCCGTTTCCAAAATGTTGGGTCATGGAATTTCTCCAGGATTCATCTTAAGGTTCCTATTAAAAAACAACAAGAGTTTTACTGACTCAGTACCTTCAAGTCATGATTGATGGAAATAACTGTAGAAAACTGCACACCTTTTTTCTTCCTTCCAATGTACAAGGAATAGCTCAAGAATTCTTTCTTTTCTTCTTCAGGGGAAGATTAAAGATATAATCTTTCCAAATTCAGAACTGGGAAGGGGGAATCTGAATATGATAAGCTTACATTTTAAAGGGCTTTCTGCTCAAGTTGGCATAGAGTTTTTAGCCTGAGGACTAAATTACTTATACTTAACAATCATGAAAGAAAATCCACTCCAATCAGATAAGTAAAAAATAAATAAAGTTTCAGGCTGTCTTCTGGTTCCAATTTGCTACAAGAACAGTTAATTTGCATTTAATTAGGTGACATTCTATGCACAATTGCTCTTAATTATATTGCTATTAAGAGGAAAGTATAACAACAACCATGAAAACTGTATTAAACTAGGCTCATAAGTAGCTACTTGCCTTGTCAACAGTGGTGACAATGAATTGTTATCATACTGCAATACAAGCTAATCTCTGCCATGAGTCAATTGCAAGATGATACTTGTGACCTTAAGCAACTTTGGTTTTACATAAGAGAAAACAAACATTCTAGAGTATAAAGGAAAGGAAGGAGCCTAAGGGAAAGTTTCAAATGGACCGTGCAACTATACTGGGCAGAATATGCTCAACACTTGAAGAGTAAAATCTTTTTCCTCAGCTAAGATGAGAAAAGGCAGGCCTATGCACTTACTTGCAGAAAAAAACAAGAGACACAAACCTGATAGTCCCCTAGATGAATAAGAGGGAGGATAGAATTGTGGACTCTTGAAAGTGTGAAGGCAATCTGAGGTATCCAACATGGAGCAATATTAAAAGCTGAGTAATGGAGCATGAGAGTATGTTCTCCCACAACTTCATCTAAAGGTCTTCAGGAAAACGAGATTTACTGGAAACACTACAAGATACAAACCCAGCTCTCCAATAGGAACTAAATCTAGATGAGAGCTGTTTCCTTTCTATTCTCCATCTTGATTCAAATGAGTACATCTTGCTTCATTATCCAAATTATCCAAAAACAGTATCATCATTGTTGTTCTATTGGTGATGGCGAGAGCTGCTCATAAGCAAAGCCAGCAATTTTTCTATTAACACCTGCCATTTTATGCTTTTCTACGTGACATGCTTTTCTTTTCTCTTTCCATTACTCTAATAGGAATTATCTCTCCCTTCTTTCCTGAAGTACAGATGAAGCTAAGGACAATTGTTTGCTCAGCTTAAATATTTATTATTAGCTACCGCGTATAGAAATTCTCCCGTATAAGATAAGCTTTATTGTCATTTTTTTTTACTGTGGGCACAATGGCACACATCAAAAATGAAATTTAGTTGCCCGCTCTATTATTATTAATAGAAATCTAATAGTGTGCTTGTTTTCAAAAACTCCAACTATTCCAGTTTACTAGGAAAAGAGCTATATTTTAATATCAACTCCTAGAATACTGGCTTCGTGATTCAGGCAGATAAAATTTTAAGCTGCTTGTATGAAGAGATATTATTCCTTTGTTTCAAACTCTAAACGAGAATCTTTAGAAATTACATTTCTTACTAGACTGCAGATGCATCTATCCTGACTTCAGTATATAGTTAGAAAACTAAGGCCAAGAGTCAAAATAATTGTTAAAGAATTGTAGACAGATGGAGTAAGATCCATGTCTGTATATACATTTCCAAATTGTCCTAATATTGTTTCTGATCAAATATATATTTAAAACGTTACAAAAGGTAGTTTTCAAAAAGCAAACAGGGATAGATATTCAGATATTCAACTTTGTATCTAAACTTTAATGCTATCAGAATTGGACTGCAAAAATCCAGATGACCATTAGACTACTTTCCATTTATTTCCTAGGTTATACAAGAAAAATTAAATGGGGAACAAAGTGGGTGTTGGGAAAGCAAAGCCCACTTCATCCACAATTTTGCTGATTCCACTAATGCAGTTCCCTCCTGCTTATAGTATACTCCTTTCATAGATTGCTATGGAGATTAATCACAAGAGCAAGATAATTACATTGAAGCAGCTTCTGCCACAAGGCTGGAGAGGGAAATCAGAATCACAAGGACCTGTCCTGGAACAATTGTTAGCAAGGCACTCACAAATTGCTTTTAGGGGCATGTTGAATGAGCCCTTATGTAGTATTTTCAGCCTTTCTAGGGTTACCAAATGTCCAGCAAAGGGAAATATGTCTTCTTTTTTGACCTCCTGTCAAGTAAGCATAGCATTAAAATAAAGTATTTCCTGGCTTTTGAGGTATTTTTTTTAGAGGTTGTGACTTTTCCAGCAATAGTTATTCAAACTTTCATGTATTGTGACCTTGTAAATTTTTTTCTTTCCCTCATCTATTGACAGATTCAACAGTCTAGATTTGATTATTTCCCAATTCTAGCAATAAGGTTTGATTCAGCCATTTCAAATCTATGATCACTTAAGTCTGTAGATCACAATTGGTCATGTTTCTATGGTAAAATTTGAAAACCGCATTGTATTATTACTACAGCGTACTTGAAAATACTATACAGATTTGTTGGAAAAATATTGCAATTGAAAAATCAATATTGCCAAAACTGGAAATAGTAATTTTACATGTAGACCCAAGTACATTTTTGGCCGTTTTTGTGATGGATGCCAAGAAAGTCCGAGTTCTTCTTTGCCAGTCTAAATATCTGGTAACTGTGGCTTTTTCCTATCCCTCAAAATTGTGTCTGAGAACACAAAATTAGCAGTGTAAGAATTAAAATCATTGATTCTTAACAAACAGCAGCACTTCAGTGCTTAACTTAGAGCTCGTATTTACAAAATAAGAAATCCACGCGGAAAGCCACAAAATCCACGCGGAAAGCGAAATCCGCAGGCGCCCCATCCTTCCAATGGGGAGGGGAAACAGTGGGGTTCTTTAACACGCAGAAACCCAGGATTTCATAACTCATCGTTAGATCAAATGCATTTCGTGGATGAGATCCTTGTCTGCCGTATTGGAAAAGGCTAAGCTTCCACAAACGTACTTCAAATCCCAGGGCAAGCTTCCCGCCGGTTGCGAGAGAGACACCGGGCAGCGCTTTTCTAAACCGGGAGAGTTCCGGGTGGGGCGGAGTCGGATACCGTCTTGCTCTGAAACTCTGAAAGCGGAAGAGGAAGCGCCTCAGCACTTCAAAGATGGCGGCTCCCGCAGTGGGCCTGCTCTCTCGGTTTACAGCGCTTCTGCCTCGCTTCTTGGGAAACGCCTGGACCCGGCCTCCGTTTCGCGGACTCCGGCAGGGTGAGTGCCAGATGTGTCCTTTCCACACGTAAGGCTTCAAACCAACGCCCGGGGTCCAGCGCTGGCCGAGGACAGAGTCGTTGTGCATCTTGGGCGCCTTCCTCCAAGGCGATGTCTGGCAACCGGCTGAAGAGAAGTGCCGTTTCTGTGCAGTTTTTACAGTCTTCCGCTCAGAGTCCGGGGATGGATGGGTCGGTGCACGTACTCGTAATCCCTGGGATGTATGGGTAGCGCAAGGTAGAAAGGCAAGAGCGGACTCAATACTACCAAGTACCCAAATATGTAAAATTTCTATGCCTCTATACATAGAGATGGGGTATCCACCATCTCTTTCTCCTCCTTCTCTGTGGTCTGTATGGTCGGAGAATTCACTCTTGTAGCAAAATGCACTGGAAGTACAGATGGTCCTCGACCTACAACAGTTCATTTAATGACTGTTTGAAGAAAGTCATTAAAGTAACTTGTGACCATTTTTCACACTTACAACCGTTGCAGCATCCCCATGGTCACCTGATCAGAATTCAGATGCTTGGCAGTTGACTCATGTTTATGACAATTGCAGTGTCCCAGGATCATGTCATCACCTTTTGCAGCATTCTGACATTGGATTGGCCCTCATGATGTGGATTGTTGGGGGGGGGGGACCAGCACATATAAGCTGGGAAAAGCTGCTGTAATAAGAACGTGGAATTAGTAACCTTAAAATAGTATCAAATGTCTAGATCAGTGTTATTTCAAATGTGGTCCTAGGATTCATTGGGTCCACTGAAAGGATCCAAGAGCCTTTCAGGGGTCCAAGTAATCAAAATTATTTGCTAGACAATGTTGAAAAATAATATTAAAGCCCCATCAAATAATGTGAGAAATGCCTCAGCAACATATGCATCAATATTAACTTTTAAGACGGTAAATGTCCATAAATATAAGCCATACAAACAAAACTCTTTTGGCATTCTCTCTAATTTTTAAAAGTTGGAAGGGGTCTTGAGAGAAAAAAGTCAAGAAGCATGTCTAGATGTTCAGTTAAAATTCTGATAAATCTTCAGGTTTCCCAATTTTTTTGTTAAGGATTTTCTTAAGGGAGGGGAGGATGTTTAAAAATAGACCCTATGCTTATATATATAAAGTTAATCCCTGCTTCTCCAGGTTAAGGCTGGGAAAAAAAACTTATTGGAAACCAGGAAAGTCGCATTGACAGACACACTGGGGTAAATACGCTCATGGTCTGAATCGGCGTAAGAATGTGCTTTTCCCACTTTCTCATTCCACATATTTTCCATTGATTGAATATGTTTCATTTCTTTCTGTTAAGCATTTTAGAGAAATACTAGTGTTCTTTGTGTGTTTTTTCCCCACAATATTATCATGTTACACTGTATGACTTTAGTTTTTCTGTATAAGAGTGCAGTAGGTCTGTAATCTGTGCAGGAATCCTGATATTATAATAATAATAATGATAAAGTTGGAAGGGACCTTAGAGGTCATCTAGTCCAACCCCCTGCTCAGGCAGGAAACCCTATACCATTTTGGACAAATGGTTGTCCAGTTTCTTCTTAAAAACTTCCAGTGTTGGAGCATTCACTGCTTCTGGAGGCAGGTTGTTCCACTGGTTAATTGTTCTAACTGTCAGGAAGTTTCTCCTTAGTTCTAGGTTGCTTCTATCTTTGGTTAGTTTCCACCCGTTGCTTCTTGTCCTGCCTTCAGGCGCTTTGGAAAATAGCATAGCTTGACTGCCGTAGAGCAGGGGTGGGCAATTAATTTTTCCAAGGAGACATATGAAAAATTGAGGCAATTGTGGGGAGCCACTGATACTGCCTCACTCCCTGCTGATGCCCTGCCATCAGTGCCCCCACCCATGCCAATGACACCAGCAATGTGAGCTGGACAGGGACAGCCAAAGGGCTCTATGTGGCCTGCAGGCCATAAAATGCCCAGGTCTTCTCTAAAGATTGGGGGGGGGGTTTAAGCTGCATCTCTCATGTGAGGGCATTGATAGATTTTATTTATTTTGCTCCATAGCTAATGGGGTTTGGTATATTTCCAGATTCTGTCTTTTTCATGGCAACTCCTCCAATATCACATTTGATTCATTTCATTTTGATTTCAGAGAGTTTCCCTGTGAATAGTAAGAGCCTTAAGCTCATTTACACAGTTTATTTCTAACGTTCTTTTGGATTGACAAGAACAGAAAAAAGAAAGAAAGAAACCAAAATCTTATAACACTATTCTCTGTGCTTATCCATATATTTCTATTTAACTGAGCTACCTTTGCTTCTATCATGTCCACACGTTTCATATATTTTCTTTCTCCCATTTTTATTTTGTTGTTTTGTTTTGATTGAGGATCTCATCAAGACTAATTAGCAATAATTTACCCCATGCCCCATTTCTTCTCAACCCATTTAATCCTCCTTTGTTTTACCATTGAATTCTCATTCATGTTCTTCATGTGATCAAAACCATCTTAATGGACTTATTGCAGAATCCATTCATTTTCTACCCAATCTGTGCTTTATCATACAATTTCTTAAGCATTCTATTCTCCCTATAGTCAATATGTGTGTTTCTCCAACATGTCAACCTCTCACTTCCGTATAACCAAGTGGGCAGGAGTTCACTCTTATGTTCAGACATTTTTGTATCTTTTAGCAGTGCTACTTCTCAACAATATTTTCACATCCTGAAATTACTCCATCTTTTCCCCACCCCTCTTTAGTAAACTTACTACTACATCTTCTGGTTCACAGACTCTTAACTGATACTACTCACATCACAAAGTATAATTGCTGCATTCAAAAAAACCCTACACTATTTTGGGAAATAAAATGTCTGCAAGAAAAAAATTAAGTTCAGAGAGCATCACGGACCTTCAGTCAGTGTAGAACTAGCCTTGTGGATAAAACTTAATGGAGAAAAGAATCTGTTAGGGAAAATGACTGACGCCAGCCTAGCTGAAAACAAGGGCAAGAGGAAATCCCTGCCATCAGCACCTAAGGAAAGCACCGGTTACAGTAAAAGGTTCACTGTTCCCTTTTACTCCAGAGAGAATAGCTTTAATTCTTTTCCGCCATGAAACAGACAAGGAAATGACCACCAGCAGTTGGGGCGGAGAGTGAGATTTTCCAAAGATACATGCCTGAAATTGAGGTGTTACTTTTTCTAAAGGAGACAGGAATACACACTCTGAGTGTTTGAAATTATTAGGCAAGAACAAAACAAGCACACATAAAATGGTTTATACTTAACCACACATCTTTTTCATGTATTGGACGTCAGGATTTGAAATTCATTCATTGACTAGGACAAAATAAATATTTTCCCACTTTTGTAGGTGACTAAATAGCCATTTCCAAATTAAGTGGCTATAAATGATTGTATTTTCATTATTTGTGAATATGTATCATAAAAGAAGATCATTTATCACCATAGCCATAGTGATAAGAAGCTTTGACAGGAGACTACATTGTGTTGACTCTTCCATCACTTGTGCCATCGTCACTTTTTGGCTTGTTTATTTCTCTCAGAATATCAAGTTTCTCCATTCAGTAGAGGATCATCTCCACATTCCCCAGAATGGCAAAACATTTACAATAGGAGACCCCCAGACCATGGACCAGTACCAGGCCACACCATGCCAGCAACCAATCCGCATAAACAAGGAAATCCCCATCCCCAGGATGCAGGCAGCACACAAAACCACGCCCCCTCCAGTCCATGGAAAAACCTCTCTCCACATAACCAGTCCCTGGTGCCCAAAAGGTTGGGGACCTCTGATTTAGAAGATTACATGCTACCTATTATTTTCAGCATGAAAATACTTAGTATGCTAATAGGTTCAGGTTATTCTCACATAATTATTGCTGAGGATTACTGTATGTATAATGTTTCAATTATCTGGAAAACAGGACAGATTTTTTTTCCCTTTCATATAAACTGAATTTGTTTTAATTGCCCTTTCTCCCTCTCTGATAGTTTTGTGGAGTGATATTAGAGAAAATATTTGGATGAATGCTGAGTATTGAATTTCATATTAACTTCCTCAAACATCATTTCCATTCTAATACTGTATTTATTACTAGGTCACAGGAATTGTAAAAGTGCTCTTCATGATCCCAGTTTCTTTACTGGATTTAAATATATCTAACATTTTCTTCACATTTTTGTGTTTGCAGTTGTAGAAACTATTGAAGGGAACACCACAACGGTAAGTTTGCTATATTTTCTGAATTACAAATATTAGCTTTTATAAACCATCAACTTTCAACCAAAAAACGGAACAGTAACTTTCAACAAATAATCAATATGCATTTAAATCTCAGTATGATTTTGAACAAAGCTTACCTAACTCTTTATATTAACCTTCTGAATATGTTTTCAGGGTGTAATATTATAATCCCTGGTTACTTCAGTAAAAACCACGATTTCTTACAGGGTAGGGTATGCCTGCAGATCTGGAAAAAGACTATGAACTTCCAGGATCCTCTATAAAAACTTCTGAAAAGGAAAGAGCTGAGATGAGAAGAGCCTTTTAGATTACTTTATTGATATTATTAAATTGGAGCAGGGATCTTTTTTTTTCCTAGCTGTCTGTTAAAAAGAAAGAGCTAATAATTACATTTTAAAACATAGTAAGGTGAAAATAAAAGCTGTCTTGAGTCAAACCCAACTCCAGGAGATTTCATAGACATGTCTATGTAGCTTGTTATACTGTTTCCTACATTGATAGCTTATTAGGATACAGGGAATTCTGTGGAAGACATAGAGATTTTGAAGTGCTGCAAATGTACTGTTGTGGCGCAGATCTTTTTTTTTTCCTTGAAAGCAAGGATCTCTTACCACAAAGGGTACTTAGAAGATAGCAAGGCAAAATACTTTGATTATGAAGCACAGAATATTCTTTCTCTCTAAGATGCTTTTAGTTTCGTTGTGAATACTCACAAGACTACAAAAAAATGTACTATTGCCCTTTAATACTAAATAGTGACATTTTCATGGTCTCTTCAAGAATTATATAATTTAGAGGTGGTTCACTGAAAATTCCCTTGTGTGCTTTGGTGGGTGAATGTACTCACGAGAAAAAGAATATTCTGTGATTTTAAGAACATAATGTAGATAAACTTAAATTTGCTTTGCAAATGTTGGTTTTTATTTCTCTCCTGGTTTATAAGTGTAAACTGAAAATGTTTTCCTGGCTAGCTTGCTTCTCTTTTTAGTATCATAAATGTCAAGTTGAAAACAAAGGCAAACCCTTTTGTGCAAAAAGTGCATTGCCTTCCCATCCAGCACTTAGCTTTAGCATTTGGGTCTTAAATCCAACTTCTGCCTTTAAACATTTCCAAGAAGGTCCTCAGACTTTCTTTTAGGAAGGAACCTAGTTGACAGAAAATGCCTTTGGGCAAATAAGTTTTTTGTTAAAATACTTCCGCAAAGAAAGTGTTATGAATTCCCGTAACTTTAGCCACTTTAAGGTTAGTGGGACGGCTTTGGGAAGTGTGCAATATCCTAGTCATTCAAGAAGCAATTATGAGATAAGTTACATCTTTGAGCATGATTAGCTAGGACTGTGGGCTCTATTGCTTTTTGGAAGAATAGGTAGGTAGGTAGGTAGGTAGGTAGGTAGGTAGGTAGGTAGGTAGGTAGGTAGAAAGAAAGAAAGAAAGAAAGAAAGAAAGAAAGAAAGAAAGAAAGAAAGAAAGAAAGAAAGAAAGAAAGAAAGAAAGGAAAGAAAGAAAGAATCCCCTTTGTAAGACAGGATCCTCCTAATAGGGAGTTTTTTTAATATTGCAGAATATTGTGGTTCTTGCAAAGTGCTACTTAAAATTCAAAGTATTTTTTCCCTTTTTTCAAGTTCATTCTCTGAAATGTAAGTTGCTAGCAGCTAAGTCTAATTATCCTTTTCTGCAGTTTGATATATTGATGTTGTATGTGCTGAATAAAGTAATGTAGGAAATCAAGCAGCAGTTTTTGAACCATGGACTCAAAATTTCCCTTTTCTTAATATCTTAGATCGAAGGCAAAATTATAGAAGATGTCAAAAGCCCAACTCCTCCAAATCCTTTTGGAAACTGTCCTATTTGTCGCTGGGACTTGAAACACAAGTACGATTATATGGTGAGTTTTTATTCTAATACTTGCTAAAATATAGCCATGCTGACATCCTCCTGCTGAGGATAAAATATAGTTAAATCAACTTATTTCTATCTAGATCATTCTCATAATTGTATGCCTGGTATTGTCTAATGAAATAATCAACTGACTTAGAGGTCAACTCTTCTTTGCACAAAATGCCAGGATTTCTGAGAAGCAAAATTACATGAGTAGACTTTGTTATTGCTAAATTACATACCAGCAAAACCTAATGCCTAGAACATTGTTTTTAGTTGAAAACAATAATTTACATTCTTAGAGGCATCACACTAAAGGAAAAGAATAGAGAAGAAAAAGAAAATTAGCAAGCAAATTATAATCGTGGTAGTTGGCAGGAATTTTTCAGAGGGAGAGAATTGTAGTAAAGCACGGGTGTCAAACTCGATCGCATCACATGATGTATCATGACTTTTTGGCCTTTGTGGAGCAAGGGTAGGCGTGGCCTGCCCATAACGCATCCGGCCTACGGGCTGCCAGTTTGACACCCCTGCAGTAAAGAATGTGATTGTAATGTGTACATATAGTATGCACAATGTTAAGATGAATCTAACTGTATTTTGCATACATAAGCATGTATAAGTTACCTTTCTACTGAAGTTTGCTGCCTAGCAAAATGATCTCTTTCATAAATACGACAACTTCACGTGATATGACAGGAAAAGGTTTTTATCTTCTTGGATGGGAATCTAGGAAATTTCTAAAGTTTAGTTACACTAACTGATTCTCAGGGACTTATGACTGAAATCTACCCCAATCCTACCTAGAAAGACCAAGGAATAATAGCCATTTATTCTTCTTAGGAACATTGGTGATCATTTATATACACAGTAGAACTAGAATCTGTAGTTCTACAGATTGTTAGAGCTCACTTTATTTTCACATTGCTGACCAGCTATGTTGTTGAATGTAATATAACTTATGCATGTAACAAGCATTCTGTCATGATTTCATGAAATCATTGATTTTGTGACTAATTGCACATTTAAGAAAACCAAGTCCTAATTAGTATCAGAGGTCTACTATTTCTGGCGATTTCTGATAAGTAAACAATAAGGATTCCAAGATAAATAAAAGAAATCAGTGTTGTAGGTCTACCCTTTTATTTTCCAGTGAGCAAGCCTTGAATTTAGACAATATCTTTCCAGCTGTAGTTAAAATTCTCAACAGTAAAATACAACATTCAGCATTCAAAATAATGTTGAAACCCATATTAATCATGGATTGGATGAAAAAAAAAAATTGACACATAATCCAAACTAGACAGCTGTGTCCCTGGTTGATTAAAAGGCACGTCAAGGGAAGTTACTAAATAGTTTTAGCAGTATTATTTAAGGAAGGCTGGATATAAATCTAATTTTTTTTTTCAAATATGCAGTGTCATTTTATTTAGCTTATAATCCATCCAACGATTCTGCAGCCTCAAATTGGCAATGCAACTTTTTACAGTGCATGGGGAAGCACAATTACTGCGCTAACGAGCATCAAGCTGTCCTAACATCAAGTCTTATTCCAAAAGAGAATAGATTATGCCCATGAAATAGGAGGAAAGAGAATTTGCAGCTATGCTTTTAACTCCATACAAATGTACATCAGAAACTCCTCATATTTATAATAAATTGTTTGGCTGACACATCCAATTTTGCAACATTTGTCCCCCACCCAGCTATATTGCACTTAAAAAAAAATAGCAAACTAGGAGACTGGGATACAACATCTGACTGCAAAATAAAATCTGACTTCGAAAGATCATAAATAGTCACATATTGACCAGTTTTAAAATCCTGAACTTTGGAACAATTATGGGCAGAAAACATTTCTTACAAGACTCTCTTTCTCTGGGGCACTGTTCACCTAGCACTGGAGATTTGAATACTTTGAAATAAGGATTCCATAATCGTTTTGGTTAGTTTTTTTTAACGGAACACATACCTCCTTCTTTGGGGAAGAATGAGCCATAATAGTTGTTGCATCATTGGAAATTGTTATTAAAGTGCTTTAATGCAAGGACAGGGAGCTTGTGATTTTCTGGCTTAATCTAGCCTGCACATGCACAAGGAAAACCGCTTCCCTAGAATCCCTAATCCCTCTCTGATACTATCAGTTACTTTCCCAGTATGCCTCTACTTCAGCTGTTTTCTCCTTCCCCCTTTGGGAAATGTGAGTGAAACCCTGTGCATGGGCGCTTGAAACAGAGCTTCTGAAAGCAAGACCAAGTGATTTTTCCATTTGGAACTTGGCATTGAACTCATCCTCTGCTCGGTCCTGCAATTAAAAACTTACCAATTCATCTTTTTTTCCACATAACAGCAGACCAAGAGACTTCAGATTATTTGAAAAGTTTATGGAGTTGAAAGATTAAAAGAAGTTCATTGTGTTTTGAAGATAAAGGGAACTTTGTTTTTATTACAGTTTTTAAGTTTAATAATATCTTAGTTACTTAATTATGTTCAGCTTTTTTTTTTAATATGGCTTTGTTTGAAACAGAGTTGGTTAGAATTGCTAAAAGAGAGCTAACAATAAGCAGCAGATTTTGTGCAACCCAAAATAATAGCATGGGATGAGAGTGTGCTGGTTGTATAAACAAATCCCAAAGGTCATTTAGTCAAATTATTAGCAGTTGTCAGGAATCCAGGTGGCCTTGGGTATTGGTCCTGCCCACCATTCCAGCCAGATTTCTGCTTCCAGAGAATACATTGGTCATGATGGATTTTGTTTATCTAGCAGGAAAAATCAAATACTCTGTCCAGATGAAGGCAAAGCTTTATTTCCTCTTCTCTTGCTTGGAACACAATTAGTCTGACCATGAGTAAATGTCATCTCTCTTTGGCAGTGGAGAATGGAGACCGAACTCCAGTCTTTGCTTCTGAGTTCCAAATTAATTCAATCCAAGTTGTTTTCGTCAGATCCTACAGATTACAGGGGTGGGAATCTGAGTTCAGCCTCTCCCAGGAGCTGCCCAGTGATTAAAGCAAAGCTGCAGTTGTAGTCTTGGCTGCCCATTAGCACACAGTGTTAATTTCATGGAACATGACGGCAGTGCTAATCTCTGCCAGAATACTCTTTTCTTTTAACCCTTTTGCACTTGTTTCTCTGTTACCCTAAAACACTGTATCTTCGCACTGCCTTGCAGCAGAGATGAACTCTGAATGAGCAACACTACATTGTTGGACTTGGGGCCTGTTTATGCATTAAAAAAAAAAAGATAAAAAATTAACAAACTCATATAGAATAAAGATAAGAGAGGAAAGAAGAAGGACAAAGTAAAAAAGTGCAAAGGAAGGAAAATAATAAAAAGTAGCTTCTGATTTTCTTTACAGCAGTTATAAGTATAAATGTGCATTTACCTCTTATGCTATAGTTACAACATAGCATTCTTTTTTCTGTAATCTGATTTTCAAAGTCATAAATTCATTTTTTATGTTTCATGCAAAAAGTCTGTAAGCGTTTCCAGTCAACAATAAATAAATATGTTTTTTCTCTGATCAAAGGGGTCAGTTTGAGCATCTTAGCAAATTCCATCATCCTCACTATCCATTCCTCCATTGTGGGTAGTGTCCAGTCTTTCCATCTTTTGCATATAATAAGCTTTTGCATATAATAATCTGTGCATTTATCGTGCACAGAAGACTTGAGGCTTTTGTTAACAAGCAGCAAATGGTTTAAGGCAGCCTGCAGGCCTGAAGAGGGTGGAATCTTATTGTTTTGTTTTAAAGTGACATTTAGAATTGAGGAACACATGGGCTAATGCTCATATTGGGTCAAATTGAATCTGGAAACAAGCACTCTCATATAATGGGGCTAAGAAACAGCATCTTTCCCTTATTATTATTCTCTCTATTTAAAATGTTAAATACGTTACATTTCTTTTCAGCAGGTGAGTGCTACATGCAATAAACTGGAATAGAATAGATGTAGCATTTTCAGTATGTTGTAGGAGATGCTCTTAGGCAACTGAAAATTTGCTTCTTCTGGTTCATCCCAACAACTTCCATAAAATATCTGAAGCAAATGTCTTTGGAGCCCTGGATGTTGAATTCTGTTTAAGGTCATTCGGTCCCTCCTTTGGAAGGGATCTGACGAACACTTATAGGGCTGTGCGGAGGAATTTGTTGAGTACCTGATGGATAAATTACTCAGATTTGTTCTCAGTTGGAATCCAAACATGGAGCAGTCCATTGGAGATCCCAGGGAGTGGACTCACCCAATTATCTGGGAGCAATTTGAATCTGTTGGACCTGAGGAAGTAGACTGGCTCCTCGGAGCTATTAGTGTAAGAATTTATGGATTAGATCTTTGTCCCTTCTGATTGGTAGAAGCGTCCATGAGAATGACGGGGGGGGGGCAGGCAGTAATTAATACATCCCTGCAGGAGGGGGTATTCACAGGACAATTTATGGAAGCCTTGGTCTGTTGCTTCTTTAAGAAACATTCACTAGATCCCACCTGCCTAGGTAATTTCCATCCAGTTTCCCACCTCCCCTTTTTAGAGGAGATGGTGGGAAAAGTGGTTATGCCAGAGCTTCAGAGAGTCCTGACTGAAACGAAACTATCTGGACCCCTTTCAGCCAGGTTTCAGTCCTGATTATGGAACAGAAACTGCATTGGTCATACTTATAGATGGGAACGGGATGGGGTATCCTTGCTCTTCTTGACCTCTTGGCAGCTTTCGATACCAGCAACCATGGTATTGTTTTGGACCAGTCGTAGGAGCTGGGGCTGGGTGATGAAGTCTTGCACTGGTTCAGCTCCTTTCTTCAATGCCGGTCCCAGTTGGTATTGATAGGGAGCAAGAGATGCTTTGTGGAATGCCACAGGGCTCAATACTCTCTTCCATTCCTTTTTAACATCACATGAAATTGCTGGGTGAGGTCATTCAACACCATGGGCTGAGGGTATCATCAATATGCCAGTGACACCCAATTTTACATCTCCATCCCTAGTGATCCAAGAGATGCTGTAGCTGCCCTCTTAGAATGCCTGGAGGCTGGAGGGGTTTGGATGGGGGACAACAGGCTTCAGCTGAACTCTGGTAAGATGAAGTGGCTGTGAGTTCATGGAGCCTCAGGATTTGTAGGTTTATCATCCTTGGTTCTGGATGGAGTTGCACCACCCCAGACAGACCTGGTACACAATCTGGGAGCTCTCCTAGTAGTATAATCCACGTGTACTATAATTCTGGAATTTCAAATATTAGTTCATCTGAGGCAGAAAAAGGAGATTTAGCATTGCTCAAAAGTTATTTTCAGCTGAGTAAATTAATTTGTTCTGTGAAATAGTTTACATTGTTAATAATTCTGCTTGTAATTTTTCTAAATTCTGGCTGCTTGATTGCAAACTCCATAATCTTGACAAGCCTATGCAATAAGTGCATTTCCAGACAGGTGGCCACTATGGTTGAATTTTATATTCCTTAGGTACAATGTAGAACAATCTTAGAACAGTATACAACAGTTTTCATGTTTTTGCTAATGTGTTTTTTTAACTTTAGCGTTAGATTACTCCATGACTTGTTTTGTCTTAGTTCTGTATAACTTTGTAACAGTGATTTAGTAACCTTAAATATTCTAGTTATACTTTCACCCAAGAACATCTAGAAATACTTCTTGTGGCTTGTTTTGCCTTATAATCATTGCCTGAGAATGTTAGTCGAATGCCCTGGAATGCATTCCAAGAAGAAAAGCTCTAAATAAAATGATATTTTTATTAGTTGAGAAAAAATTAAAAGTATCTAGAAAATTAGAGCATTCTCAAGTTCTTTTTTTAATAAATTTTATTTCTATAAAGATAAAACAGAAAAAGAAACAAAACACAAAGATATGTACAACAAAAAAAAAACCCCACAAAAAAGTGTTAACATAGGGATAGAATCAAGATCACGTGAAGTGTTAATACCACTTTATAATGCCTTGGTAAGGCCACACTTGGAATACCGTATCCTGTTTTGGTCGTCACAATGAAAAAAGATGTTAAGACTCTAGAAAGAACACAGAGAAGAGCAACAAAGATGATTAGGAGACTGGAGGCTAAAACATATGAAGAATGACTGGTGGAATTGGTATGTCTAATTTAATGAAAAGAAGGACTAGGAGTGACATGATAGCAGTGTTCCAGTATCTAAGGGATTGCTATAAAGAAGAATTCAGCCTATTCTCAGGACAAGAAGCAATGAATGGAAATTAATCAAGGAGAGAAGCAACTTAGAACTAAGAAATTTCCTGATGAAGCAGTTAATCAGTGGAACAACCTGCCTTCAGAAATTGTAAATGCTCCAAATTTTTAAGAAGAGACTAGACAACCATTTGTCTAAAATGGTATAGGTTTTCCTGCCTAAGCAGAGGGATGGACTAGAAGACCTCCAAGGTCCCTTCCAACTCTCTTATTCTGTTATTCTGTCATAACAAGTGCTTAAAAAATAAGTGAAAAAATACATCAGAAAAAAATAAAATATAGAGTATAATATATCATTACAGTAGTAAACAATTATAAGTCTACGTATAATTATCTAATGCACAGGCAAATATATTCACTTCTAATACATTTAGATAATGATTGTGCTTTTTTACCTGCTGTATTTTTTATAAATGAGTCTCAGATTTTATTATATTTATCCATACAAAGTCTACGTCTGTAGGTAATCCACTCATAAATAGCAAGTGTAAGCAGATATTCAATCCATTGAATATACTGTATTTATCTTTCTAACATTGCAATATCAGTCTTTTAGCTGTAGTAAGGGCATGGAGAATCCATTTATGATATGCAGTTGTCAAATTCTGTGTACTAGGCATACAATTCAAGAGAATGTTATTAAGACAGAAATAATACAGTAACAACTGAAGATCTTGTTCCTAGCAAAACCCTCACACTTTTGACTGTTCATGGCTTCATGTATCATCCTTTGTATTTCTAAGAACCATCAGGGAATAATTTTAGCATAAGGAACAGAGCAAAATATCTGATAGGGATGCATGTATCGTTTGTGCAGAAACGGTCAAATGGTTAATTTCATAATGCTTTTCAGAAGCTTTTGGGTCCCCATCGCTTGCAAGCTTAACTGATATTGGTACTTCTGAATTAGTTTCTTTTGCTTCCTTAGGATGTCTTACTGCTAAGTCAGTTCATAAACTCTACAGGAAGGATGATACCTCGTAACATCACAGGCCTTTGTAAAGAAGAGCACAAAAAGATTAAAGTGTGCGTGCAAATGGCTCACCGAGCAGGTATCTACTTGTTTCTCTTTTGTGTGAATGGGACTCAGCTGGGAAAAATGAATCTTAGTTGCTCTAAAACAGGGGTGTCAAACTGCCGGCCCGTGGACCAGACGCGTCACGCAGAAGCCGCACCCATCCCATTGCCAACAATGGCAAAACTGTCCCGATACGTTGCCGTCGTGAGTTTGATATGTCTGCTCTAAAACATTCTCAATGCTATTTACTTACCCTGCTTTTACTGCTTCATCTCCTTGCAAACATCCCAGCAGTAGAGCTCCAATTCTATTGTTTATGGTTAAACTGTGATAGAACTTTACAGTCATTGTTCTATATGATGCGTTTGGTAATCCATAGCAAGGTACATCAGCAAATGGATCGATAATATAGACCCTATTCAAGAGATCCTGTTAATCCTGTTAGCCCTAGTGTTACAAAGCAAATTGAGGCAGAGCAGTTCCTGCTCTGATCTCTTTGGTCTTAGCCCATTGTGCAAGATATAATGAGTCAAAAAGTTACATATAGCTGTATGACCAGATAAGGAACTCTCATGGAAATAAAAGTCAGCCACATTTTGATAATAAATTGAGGCTAGAAATCTGATGGATTGTAGCATGTATTGCAAGATTCTGTGTAAAATCAGATTGCTACAATGAGATCATCCCACTAACCAGTATAATTTTAGACCCTTTAAATAATCATTTGCAGCTGATTTTTATGCTTTGAAGATAAACAAGATACAAGATTTCCATTTATTGGAAATGAATTTGAGTTTGTAACATAACATATACTAGAATTGGATGTATATTTAGGAAATTGTTTAATTTTCTTCCTTTCTCTCTCCCCTCCTACCCATCCCCATTTTTAGGTTTGCTGCCAGATCATAAACCTAAATTTCCTGAAGGTGTTGTTCCCAAACCTAAGCAAATCCTCAACAGGTCAGGTGTTCTGATAAGTGGGTGAGAGGGAGGGAAATCTTTGGAAACCTTAGAAGTGGACCGAAAAAAACAGTATAGGTCAGGGGTAGGCAACCTTGGCTCTTTTATGACTCGTGGACTTCAACTTCAACTTCCACAAGTCACAAAAGAGCCAATGTTGCCTACCCCTGGTATAGGTAGTGCTCAGCCTACCACAACTGAGCCCAAAATTTCCATTACTAAACAAGACAGTTGTTGAGCAGATCATTCGGTCATTAAGCAGATCTGGCTTCCCCCATTGACTTTACTTGTCGGAAGCCAGCTGGGAAGATTATAAATGGTGGTCAAATGACCCCAGGACAGCACAGGTGTCACAAATGTATGCAGTTCCAAGCACCCGAATTTTTATCACATGATCACGGGGATGCTGCAATGGTCGTTAAGTGTGAAAAACAGTCATAAGTCACTTTTTTTCAATTTGTAACTTTGAACAGCCGCTAAATAAATGGTGATAAGTCAAGGACTCTCTGTATAGTTTGTTGTTGTTGTTGTTAATTGCGAAGTCGTGTCCAACCCATCGCGACCCCATGGACAATGTTCCTCCAGGTCTTCCTGTCCTCTACCATCTTCTGGAGTCCATTTAAGTTCACACCTACTGCTTCAGTGACTCCATCCAGCCATCTCATTCTCTGTCATCCCCTTCTTCTATTGCCCTCAATCTTTCCCAGCATTAGGCCCTTCTCCAGTGAGTCCTTTCTTCTCATTAGGTGGCCAAAGTATTTGAGTTTCAACTTCAGGATCTGGCCTTCTAAAGAGCAGTCGGGGTTGATCTCTTCTAGGACTGACCGGTTTGAACGCCTTGCAGTCCAAGGGACTCGCAGGAGTCTTCTCCAGCACCATAGTTCAAAGGCCTCAATTCTTTTGCGCTCAGCCTTTCTTATGGTCCAACTTTCACAGCCATACATTGCAACTGGGAAAACCATGGCCTGGACTATACGCACTTTTGTTGGCAGGGTGATGTCTCTGCTTTTTAGTATGCTGTCTAGATTTGCCATAGCTTTCCTCCCCAGGAGCAAGCGTCTTTTAATTTCTTGGCTGCAGTCCCCATCTGAGGTGATCTTGGAGCCCAGAAAAATAAAATCTGTCACTACCTCCATTTCTTCCCCATCTATTTGCCAGGAATTGAGAGGGCCGGATGCCATGATTTTGGTTTTCTTAATGTTGAGTTTCAAGCCAACTTTTGCACTCTCCTTCTTCACCCGCATCAAGAGGCTCTTTAGTTCCTCTTCACTTTCTGCCATTAGAGTGGTATCATCTGCATATCTTAAGTTGTTGATATTTCTCCCGGCAATCTTAATTCCAACTTTTGTTTCATCTAGCCCTGCCTTTCTCATGATGTGCTCTGCATATAAGTTAAATAGGCAGGGCGACAATATGCAGCCTTGCCGGACTCCTTTTCCAATTTTGAACCAATCAGTGGTTCCGTGTCCAGTTCTCACTGTTGCTTCTTGATCCACATACAGGTTTCTCAAGAGGCAAATAAGATGGTCTGGTATTCCCATCTCTTTAAGAACTTGCCACAATTTGTTGTGATCCACACAATCAAAGGCTTTAGCATAGTCAATGAAGCAGAAGTAGATGTTTTTTTGGAACTCCCTAGCTTTCTCCTGTATAGTTTAGTATAGTTTTATTAATTGATCAGTCTTAACGACCATATCTATAAAAGAAAACAAAGATACGTGATCTGTTTCTGGGATTAAAAAGATAAAGTACAATGATAAAATGCGGATGTGGTGATACAAGAGTCAGCAACCCAAAAAAATGCATCACCTTTACAGGGAACCCCAATTTGCTCGGGGTATCTGGATCTTAGTTCAACTGCATTAATTATAAACTTAGCAGTTCTGTTTTTACAGTATGTACATTGGAGCCCAGGAGGGAATAAGACAATCTGTGATTCAGATCCCAGTGGGCTGTTTTTGCCAATAGAGAGGATAAGTATCTGAGCCTAAAGGGGTGATGACAAGAAATACATCCATGATCCAGTTTGTGGGATATAATATCCCTCTAATTGGAGTAGAAGTATTTCTAATATATGGGTTTCAGAACCCACTGATCCTACATGTGTACATTTACCTACATATAATGAATCTTGGTAGTTTTTGTAAAAAGTAAACCATATATCAAGACTAACCAGCTGGCTCTTTTTACGTCTTCATGCTTTCATTTTTTTTCCATTCCCAACCCCCTTTAATTTTCATATCGGTTATCCATTTTTAATCATTTGGCAATTACTGATGCGAGCTACAGAATAGATAAGCTAGCTTGTTAGCATCAGTGGGTGGCAAAAGGAACATGAAGGAGGCACTCATTCTCTGTCTCCTTTTTATTTTAGTACCTTTATTCTTTGTCTACACTTCGTAGTTTACCTAAATTTTGTGCCTTCTCTCTTCCAGTCTTCCAGTCTTTTTTCTCCCCTCCATCCTGCTTTCACACCTAGCTCCTTATTGGGGAAACTTAAACCTCCTGTTGCCTTTTTTTTTTTTTTTTTTTTTTTTTTTTTTGCTTTGCTGTCTGTTCAGAGGAGCTAATCCCTTATTTATGACCTTGTTTTTTGTTCCCATGGAGATGTCAAAGCACTTTATGAAGAGACAGTATTTGCAAGCCATGGGGTTACCAAATGCCACAGGAAAAATCAGAAACTTTTTTGAGGTTGCATCCTTGTCCTTTTCCAGGAATGTGGTCATAGTTCAGTCCCTTTTTCTGTGGATTGTATTTTAGAAGTGCTTCTGTTATTTTTATTTTCTGGATGTTCTTTATATTTTTGCAAGGATATATATTTTAGCAACATGTTTTATGCGTGTAGACAATATCTGTATATGTACAGATCCTATTTAAAAAGTAAAAAAGAAACAGGATACCTACTACTCCATAGGATTGTTTTTATCAAATCTTCTCTTGGACTTTCACAGGATGATTTATTAACTCTAGCAGAACTCCACTGGTCTGAATTCAGCCTAGTAGATGAAGGCAGCAGTGATGAATTACGTCCTTTTCTCCATGAAACAGAAATGGAGTTTAAGCCAGGGGTCTTCAAACTTGGCCCTTTTACGACTTGTGGACTTCCACTCCCAGAATTCCTCAGCCAGCAAAGGAATTCTGGGAGTTGAAGTCCACAAGTCGTAAAAGAGCCAAGTTTGAAGACTCCTGGTTTAAGCCAAGCAATTTAACAAACTGCTGTATAGTTCCTAAAGAGAGATTTAATTTTGGTAGCTGCCATGTGTCTGTCTTTCCTTTGCTTTCCCGGTCTAGAGCTTCCAAACCTGGTGGGTGGGAAAGAATGGAAAAGAGTGCTAGGTGGAATGAATTTGATAACAAGGACAAAACAAGGAATTGTATTTGAAAGTGACAGAACATTAATGGCATGCAAAGTTTTTGGAACAGTAAGTAGGGACCAGTAGGGCAGAGTTGCCTTTGCTGAGGCATTTTTAGGAACGCTTTCTCCAGTTCGTTGGGATTTTGTCTCTGTTGGCTGCAGAGAGAAAATGTTGCATTTTTGGACGCTTGCCATATCTCAACCAGGACAAGAAGGTTGTGGATTTGGCTATGTGCCTACCCCCCACCTGTGCCTCCCACATTGATTTCTGGAACAGCCAGTAATGCAGAGAAGTGGATGCTTTTTAAACATTTCTTTTCACAGCTCTTAGGGGTTAAATTGTAACACGCTACTCAAACAGCCACATCCTATATTCAGAGCAGCTTCAGAAGAAGCAATGGGCTTTAAGACACAGGACCCACGTTTGGAAGTTTGTTTCCAACTTTGCTATGATTTTGTTTAAATATCCCCCTTTGTGCTCTCTGTTCTCACATGCACAATATATCTAGTGGGAGGGAAAGCACCTAGGTCAGGGGTCCTCAGCCTTGGCAACTTTAAGACTTGTGGACTTGCAACTCCCAGAATTCCTCAGCCAGCAAAAGTTTGCTGGCTGAGGAATTCTGGGAGTTGAAGTCCACAAGTCTTAAAAGTTGCCAAGGTTGAAGATCCCTGACCTAGGTTATTGACATGGTAAAACTGTGTGAACCAGAAAGCTAACATTTCATGGCCTCTCATTTAAAAACAATGGCAAGATGCATTTTATATAGTTTAGGAACTATATTATGTATGAGGAATACATTATTCCCAGTATATATTTCTTCTTCCATTTCTTCTTTTTTAAGTGAGAAAAGCATTGCTAAACTGAAACGCTGGTAATGGTTGCAGGAAATAGTGGTCTAAAAATATTACAGAATATGATTAATACAGCCTTTGTGAAAATAGATTGCAATTCTCTCTGAAAAATACCAGAACTGAAAAACTGTTTCCACTGTGGGTTCTTAATACATGTTATTGTTACTATAGTACTAATTTTGATTTCCCAGCTTTTCTGCAAGATGACTGGACAGAGCCCTTCCCTCATGTAGGAAGGATATTATGCACAGAGTTGGCAATTAAACAGGATCACCCGAACAGATTCATGGCCAAGTAAATATTTTAATCCAGTTCGCACCAGTAATAGCTGAACACAAAACCCAGTGCCATGCTGGCTATTTTCTCTCACCACAAGCTTTCAAAATGCTGAACATTGCCCTCCCCTGAACAGGATGAAAATAAGAATTTTGTTCTGAAACTTTCCCAAATTGAAGGACAGGTCAAGCATACAGAGTGCGTGACTTCATGGGAAATTTTGCTTTACGTGTAATAATTAAATCTTTGCCTTAACCTGAAGGCCGTTCTCTGTGCTCATTTCCCCTAGAAATTCTTCTCATTATTCCCATAAGCAAAGAGACAAGTAACCCTTTGAATATCTTGGCTCAGTGCCCTGCCTTGATGAAGGTGTAGAGTTCTGGCTCTCTCCGCTGGTAGCAGATGAGATGATGGCTGCATGAAACCTTGTCTCAACACACTTTGGCCCCAGAATCCCAAAATCACACCACTAAAGTTTGACAGCAAATTGGCTAAATTTCAAATTTTTGCATGAATTTTCATATTTTTAAATATTTTTTTGGATTTTGGGGGGGAGAGGTATTATTCAAAAAATATTAAATATATCAACTATTATACAAGGGCCTGAAATTACTGGGGGGGGGGGGAAATTAGGGACTGCTTTCCAAGATTTAGAGGAACTCAATGCAGATAGTTTTCACTTATCAGTTATTAATTACCAATTACTATTAGTAATTACTAAATAAATGTATAGGTAAAGGTTTCCCCTGTCCAGTCAGATCCGACTCTAGGGGGCAGTGCACATCTCTGTTTCTTAGACGGAGCCAGCATTGTCCGAAGACTCCTACATGGTCATATGGTGGGCATGACTATACAGCGAGGCGCATGGAACACTGTTACCTTCCCACCGAAGTGGTACCTATTTATCTAACCCTAACCCAGGGGTAGGGAGCCTTAACTCTTTTATGACTCGTGGACTTCAATTCCCAGAATTCCTGAGCCAGCCATGCTGAAGGAAGGGAGAGGTTTCCAAGCTGAGCCATGCTGGCTCAGGAATTCTGGGAGTTGAAGTCCACGAGTCATAAAAGAGCCAAGGTTGCCTACCCCTGCCCTAACCCATTTGCATGCTTTCGAATAGCTAGGTGGGCAGGAACTGGGGCAAGTAACGGGAGCTCACCCCATCGTGTGGCCCTCAGATCTCAAACACGGGCTGTCAGCTTTCCAGCTGACAAGCTCAGTATCTTTAACCACTAAGTCAGGGGTAGGCAACCTTGGCTCTTTTATGACTCGTGGACTTCAACTCCCAGAATTCCTGAGCCAGCATGGCTCTAAGCCTGCACTAAGCCATTGCGCCCCACCAAATAATTACCAATTACCAATAGTAAATAACAATAGTAATTGGGAATAGGAAGTGTCATTAAGCAACACAGTTGTGAGGTACATCACACGACTGCACTGACTTGTAACAGCAATTTAAGCAATCCCAGTTGCCACTGTTCAGTGAATCCCAGTGCATTTGCAGCGTCCCCACAGCATCGCAGGATCATGTGATTGCTATCTGCAACCTCCCACTGGCTCAACAGGCCAAATGCCCATATTGCAATCACGTGACTACAGAGATGCTGCATAGCCGCAACTACAGGCACCCCTCATAACTGCTCCTCATTCAGCACTATTGTAATTGTTGATCAGTCACTGAACAAGTGGAGGTTAAATGGGGGCTGCTTGTCTTGGAATGGTAGGTACATCTCTTATAGTCCTTAATTGCTCCACAAAATATTGTGGAAACCCCTCCCCCAAAATGGGTTCAGGGTGGCAGCAGGATTGGTTTGCTTCCCAGGAACCTCCTGCTCCCATTTTCATTCATTAATTTTTCACCAAAAGAAAACACCTTATCTCCTGCAACCCTTGGAAGACTGTAAGGAGCCCCTTCCTGGTGTAAAAGATTCCCGTTACCTGGTCCTGCTGATCAGCATCAGGCCCTGATTGGGTGTTCCATGTTGGAGGTGGTTGGTATGTGAGGAGGCAAATTCCACCTCCACCATAGGATTCTGGGTTGGTTTTTTTTTAACTTACTTTGATTCAGTTTAATATTTAATGTTTTATACCTTTGTTTTTTATGATGTTTGCAAACCACTCAGTTGCTTGCGACAGTGAGATGGCTGGCATACAAATTTAATAAATAAAATACTGTCCTTTATCAAATCATAACATAAATTCTCATTGAAAGCCTAATCCAGTCCAAGAAAACACTGGACTCCAACTGAACATTATAGGATATACAAAGAGAAAAGGGTTGTGCATCAAAGCAGCACCACATTCATCCCAAGTTCAGAATTTTCTTGCCTGTCCCTTTTTCCAGCCACCCTGTCTCTCTCTGCCAGTGCCCCATATTTACTGTGCAGAAGTTTTTCTGGACCATCCTTCCACTATTCTAGGATTAGTTCTTCTAATTTAAGAACTTTATCTGTTGTCATCCCAGTATAATTTTTAGATTTTAATATATGTCATATCATCGCCAACATCTGTTTCCCAAAGCTGCAGTAAAATTATGTCTAGACTGTTTGGAGAAGATCAGCACCTGGTAAATTACGTCATATAAAATAACATTGTAACGTGTGTGTATATGCTGTAATAGGAAGTTAATCTGATATGCATTACAAATTCACGGTCTTATATGAAACTATAATACGGAAAGCTTATGTAGAGGATGTTTCACCTCAAAATAATGAAAGATTTAATATGTCTTATTTTTACTACAAAGGCCATGATGTGGCTATTGAATATTACATTGGAATCTAAACAACCGTAAGTGAATTGTTCCTCATACAAATTTTTAAGACATTAATGGCTGGTATAGAACAATAAGACTATAAGGAAGAGATCTGGACTTGATTTATATGCTTTAATACTTCACTTTTTATCTATTACATTTTACTTTACTAAGCCTAAGGTAGCATCCAGCATGTTCGTCTCTGTTCTTATCTGATCTTCAGATTTCAGTCCAGACTTGACTGCTGTTCTGAAATTTTGCCCATTTTCATAAGCAAGCTTGGTTCAGCTCACTTTCTGCAAGATAGTAGGTCAGGTTTTGCAGAGGAAGGGGGAGTTCAGTTCTCATCTTAGTAAAGCAGATGGAGACAAAGCAAAGTTTATAACTACATTCTACACAATACAATTTAGACAGCCCTACTGGAATTGGCATATCTTCCATATTTCACAGCGTCACATTAAATATCTATAAAATTAGCTTGGCAAGTTATGATGCATTGCAGTGAAGTTTTTTTTCTACTCTTCCTGTAAAGTTAGTTTCTCCATGAAGTTTAAATTATAAAGAAATTTTAACCTTTGATTTGTCCTGTGTAATGAAATATTTTGGTGGGGGGATATCTTTGGGTTAGTTTCTGGTGACTGCACGAGTCCCCGCAGTTTTCCTGGCAAGATTTCAGAAGCGGTTTGCCATTGTTTTCTTCCTAGGGCTGAGAGGATTGACTGGCCCAAGGTCACCCATTGACTTTGGGCCTAAGACAGGACTACAATTTACAGTCTTCTGGTTCCTAGCCTGATGCCTTAACTGCTATTCCAGGCTGGCTCTCTAATGAAATGCATTGAGCCATTTACTATTATTAACTCCAACTGTTTTTTCCAAATGATTCTCAATAGTCTTCTCTTTTTTATATCTGGAATGAAACATGAGTTCATTCGTGTTAATGTATTATGCTAATAAAAATCAATCTTTACCAATATTTTCAAGATGAGAAGTATTATTTCTTCAATTCCTTGATGTCTGTTTTTTAATTTCTGAACTCATAGCTATTGCAGTGTGCTTACAACTTCATTCAGCTTTCAGTTTATTCACTTGACAGCTTTATTTCTGCACCAAAGAGCAAAACCTTCTTTGGCATCTCATTTTGAAAAGTGTTGAAGCGATGGGAACATTTTTATATGTTCAAAACCGCTTGAGACTGCTGGGATTTATTACCATTTTGCACATCCTAAATGGGCAAAGAGCAAATCAGTTTTACACAGCTCCATCAAAAGCACTTAACATTTCATGCATCCATATTATTGCTCATCAGAGAGGCATATGTGCAATTTTATTGATCACTTCCTTGTCTGCATTATTGCATTTATAAAGAGAGTTTTGTTAAACTGAATTGAGAATTCTGCAGGAAAAAAAACCCTTGAGGGCAAAACGCTGTGATGATTCTAAATCGCCATATTTCTGGTTAATCTTGCCTTCAGAAGCTAGTGGATATAACCAAACTACTTACCTTAGCTTCTTCATTTGTGTTAGGAGTTCTCATAGGAAAAATGTGTTTGAATCCTATTTAACAAGCATCTTAACTCATTTCCTTTTTTTCTTTTCTCTCCTTTGTTTAGTTTCTATTTTTTTTCTTTTTTCTTTCTATATATTTTTTATATTACAAACAATAAAGATCATTTTTTAAAAAAAAAAATCACTACACTTCCTTATCGGAATGTGTGAAAATGAGTGGTCCTGCCAATTCTTATTCTCCTGCATTAAGAAAACCTAACCTAGTTTTTTTTTAACGAAATAGACATTAATTCCTTTGGCAATTCAGATCCTTCTCATCTTAATAGAGCTCCCTTGTGCCTGTCTTGTGAACACAGCAAAGATTCACCAGATAACTTGATATCGTTTCAAAAGGCTGAAATAGAAATAAAAAGATTGAAATTAGCCAATGCATTGAAATAACCTGATATACAGATATAGACAGTCAGAAATGGACTTTGCTGAAGAACCAGCATGTGCCTGATTTTATTTTGAAATAATGAAATGGAAAGAATGAATGAGAAGTTAATGGCCATTGACTGAATTTCAAAACAATACCTAAAAATGGAACAGAGTTTCTTATGTCTTGCCTGACTCCTACAAATCTAAAGCAGCACTGGGCAGAAGCATTTTAATTAATTACTCCCGCTATTGTAACCGAGGAAGTACAGCCCACAATTAAGGTGCTTAATCATTTCATTGAGGCAGATGGGGCCCTAGTTGTCACTTGTGCTAATAAAGTAAAATGAAGATGTTATTTGTAACTATTTATTGCATTTCAAACATGTTTTGTGATTGCCAGTTTTATTCATGGCATGGTTTTCTGCTTCTCTTCACAGGTACCATACCAGATATCCTATCAAGGCTGTGAGACCCATTTACAAGAAGGGGAGAAAATGGTGCAAAGTTCCCATGCCTATATCACATCCAATACTTAAAGATAATATTACTTATGGATCAAAGCCCCTTCGTTTTAACCACTGAAGGAGAGTGCAGCTTGAGTTGACAGTAGATGACGATCATTCAGACCATCCTGTGTGCATCATAAATGTTTTGTAGAGTCTGGAAGAAACAAAATGGTTGCAGATGGTAATGTTATTTGCTGGAGCCTGGGAAGGCTAGTTGAACAATCAATTTGTTACCTCTATGGAGGCATATCTCATTTTTGTATATATTTCGATTAAACTCCTGAGATGAATTTTTTGTCATTTTTTCAGTTGGATTTCAATAGCCTGTACATTTTGCATCCTACACTACCTTAAACTAATTGCTGAATAATACAGTCATATTGTCAACTTCTGAAACGAACCTGGCTAAAGCCATCTTTGTCGTTCTCAGTTGCCACACAGGTTGGGGGGGGAGGAAAGCGGAAGTATTGCTAGACTAAACATGGAGCGGTCCCATGAGAACCAAGGTCATTCCCACAGGTGCTGGAAGGTGGAGAGAAGAAGTGTCACGGAGCCCGCCAATTGCTTTCATTGGGAAGTGTGATCAGTTGCATAATAGAGGAGAGGAAAGTGTTATATTTAGTTACATTGAATTCCTGGGGGGAATTTTAAGAGTTGGTTTCACTTTTGACTGTGCCTATATGTATCCAATAAACATGTTCTTTGAGGAAGCTTTAAGCCTCGCAGTTCTGATTTGTTTGGGTCTGTTAGTTGGAACATTGACACATATAAGATTTGGAAGGGTTATTTTAAAAAATCATATAGTCCAGATTCCTACACAGTACAAGAATCACCAATGTTTAAATAACTCCAGAAAATGTCCAGTCTCCTAAGGTAGTCTATTGTTGAGTAGCATAACGTTAAGTTTTCCCGTCCAACCATAATCTGCTTCCTTGTAATTTAAGTCATTGTTTTTCATCCCATCTAAGATTTTCCTTCCTTACAGTTCCTTTACTATCTGGTTACTGTACAATGGGGATATTACTTTGTCATTCCTAAAGTGCACATCAAACATTGGATGCAATATCTTCAGTGTGGTCTGACAAATCTATTTTGACTCTATACTTTTGTGATGCAGCCAAGCATTGCATTTGATTTTTTTTGTAACTATTCTGCAGCACTCCCAGATTCTTTTTGCATATACCCCTGCCTAGTATACTTTCCCACCCCCAACTCTATATTCATATGTTTGATTTGTTGTGTGTGCATGTCCTATTGTAAATGTCTATGGAGATTCTCAGTCATCCAGGTCATGGTTGTCCAAAAGATGCTTTTTCAAAAGGCAACCGGACTTTCTTAGTTTTCCCTTGAAGATGTTTTGTTTCTCCTCCAAGAAACTTCTTCAGTTCTGATTGAATGGTGGAGGATGGAAGAATTTATATTCCTTGCAGTCATCTGGTCATTGGCACTCTTTCTGAGAGTTGTTGAGGCCACTTGGAGATTTATCTGTGCCCCCGGGGTCACCTGAATAATGCAGATGGGTGTGGAACAACTCAACTACTCTCAAAAAGAGTGCTAACTAAACATATTTTTAAAATATGAATCACAAGAAAGTAGACTGATTTCACACTGATTTATTAAATCAAAAATATAGACATAAGTACAAAATAATTACAACATTAGGAGATAGCTTCCTTAATTTTATATGTTTGTGATCTTTACAACATGAAGGGTAAGTCTATGTTCTTCTCTCCGTTGCCAAAATAGATATAACCATGCTGTTTAGTATTAGGAATATGGTAGAATGTGAGTCCAGGCCAGAGTAGACTTCGTAGCACTACTACTCTGCTTCCTCTCTCTACCTGGATGCTCCAGGACCCTATAGAAAAACAAATGTGTTAAATTTTACTAGAAGTAATTACAAGACAAAAGTTGTTGACGCAACACAAAATAGGATCAAATAATTTAGTAATTTAGTAAGCAGAAAATAAGTAAAAAAAATTCTAGCAAATTTAGAAAGTTTTGATATTGATTTTAAATGGAGAGGAACTGGTTTCGACTCAACGTTGGCAAGACAAAGTGTTTCTGAGTTTTTGGCTCCCTGGGCCCAGATGATATTTTATCTCTGACTCTGGACAGTGTAGCATTCCTCCCAGCTGAGTTGCTCTGCAATTTGTTGTCCTACAATCACAGCTCTTGTTCAAGGAATAGGTAGTATCTGCAATGGAGGGGGGCCTTTGCACAATTTGTCTTTCATACCAGGAGACCTTGTTCATAGTACTATTATGTTCATGTCGGAAGCACCTATCAAGATGCTTCCAGGTTGAAAGGATTAGCCGGTGGCCAGAGGACACCTGAGGAGGCTCCTTTCATGTCCCAGATATTTTCTCTCTGAAGTACCTATTTATCTACTTGCCCGTGTGTGCTTTCCAGCTGCTGGGCAGGGCAGGAGCTGGGACAAATTGACCGGCTCATTCAGTCACATAGCTCGCTCTCAGGTTTTGAACTGCTGAACTATCGACCTCTCAATGATCTTCTGACTCAGTGTTCTAAGCACTGAGCTGCTCATGGTCACTAATGCCTGGCTCACTTCCCATTTGGATTACTGCAGTGCATTCCAGCTGGATCTGCCTTGAAGACTGCGAAGAAGTTTCAACTGATCCAGAAGGTGGTGGTGGTGAAGGCAGTGCTAGGTTTATCCATGTAACACTTCTGTTGTGCAAGCTGCACTAGTTCCCAATTTCCTTCTGTGTGCAATTCAAAATGCTGATTATCTTTAAAGCCCTATATGGCCCAGGGCCAGGTTATCTGAGAGACTGCCTCTTTCTAAGGAGATCTACCCATCCTAATAGATCAGATACGGTAGCCACACTCCTAGTTCCTTCCCTTAACCATTGCCGCCTTATTCTAGGAATCATGCCTTTTCCATGACAGTCCCTATCCTACAGAATACTCTTCCACCTGAATATTGGCATGGAAATCTTTTTCATTTAGCCTTTTAAAACCGTTAAGTAGCAGTTTTAAGGCTGTATTAATGTTTTAATTTTTCAGTGTGCCATTTTGGTACTTTCTGAAGAGCTGTTATATTAGTATCATAATAAGCCTCTTTTTGGTCCAGGATAACTAATTATTACATCCATCAAGAATTCTGAAATAAATATTCAGCTATCCAGTTTCTTAACATCTCTGCTTCAATATAAAATTATCTTCATGACCAACAGTTTACAAATATCACCATATTCAGTGAGATCACAGATTCTTAACAGAAAATCACCAATAGAGGAATTAGGAGCAGCAAACACATAAATTGTTCCACACAATCTATGCACAGTAATTTCTTCTGAAACTGCAGTAATCTTTCCTGTAAAAAATGCAACATCTCACCATTATTCCTATGTGTTATTCACATATTGGAAATGAAAAAATACAACATTCCTGTGAGTCATCTTAACTTTCATGCAGTTCTTTCTATCTATCAGATTTAAGGTTTTAAAAACAATATGTATTGTGTATATGCAGACTATACCATGAACAGTAATGTTCGTCTAGCTCAGGGGTAGGCAACCTTGGCTCTATTATGACTTGTGGACTTCAACTCCCAGAATTCCTGAGTCAGCATGGCTGGTTCAGGAATTCTAGGTATTGAAGTCCACAAGTCATAAAAGAGCCAAGGTTCTAGCTAGCTCCTAAAATAAATCTAGTAATATTTACAAAGGTCCCCTACCTGAGCAGGAATAATTTGCTTCTTTGTGGATATTTTGCACTTGTTTCATTATACAAAATTAATTATCTTCTCCTTTTCTAATAATGGCAGGCAATCCCTTCTTAAATTTGTAGCAAGGGGCAAGGAAGAGACAATGCTCTTTTCCCCCTAAAGCAAGAATACATATGTATTGAATGTCATACTTTTTTAAATTGTGATGAGGTATTGTTTTCTAAGGATAAAATTAGTGCTTTACTTCCTGAAAAGCAAGTACACAAAAGTAAGAAAAAGAAACGGCAGAGAGAGTCACAAAGCCTCCATTAGTTTACAGAACAATTCGTTTTCCTTGGTGTTTTATGTGATTCCAACTTTGAAGAAAAGGAGTACCGGTATTAAGGTAGGAAAGGGATTAGTTTCAATGTTAATTTTGCTTTGGTGATGCCAAGAATATTAAAGTATAATTCAAACCTAGACTGATCAATGTGTTCTGAACTAATAACCAGAGAACCATGGGAGTGAAAAAGGAGTATTACAGTGGATTTGCTTCATCCAAAGAAACTTGAAAAGATTGGAGAATTCCAATAAGTATTAAATAAATAGAAATATTCACAGATGGAAATGTCCAGGTAGTTCCTAGAAAAATAATTATAGATATCTTAATACAGAGAGGTTACAGTACTATTCTTGTGGCAATTTCTTTGTGCTTTCTGAATTCCGTATTAAAATGAGTGTTCAAGAACCTATATTAGATACCAGAACACTGAATACATAAATTATACTGATCCCTATACAGTAACTCTGGTGTTAAGATAATAATTTACTCAATGGTACTCTTTTGAATACTTCAGTGACACACACTATTATTTTCTGAAAGTTGAGCTGACCTGTCCCTCCAATTCAACCTATAATAATGATCTGTGTCTTCCCCCCCCCCCCGGTCCGATTTAATTTCCACCACATATTCTCCTTGGGATATCCTCTTTGGGACTGCCATTAAAGGCCATTCACAAATTACAGCTGGTGAATAGAGCAGCTGCTTCCTTTATAAGAAGAAAACTACTGTATATAACAAGCACAGCTTTTTTACCCGTTTCCTGCCAAACAAATGTCAGATCCACTGTTTCTCCTTTGTTAAACTTTAAGCAGCAAACTCAAAGCTTCACCTAATCCAATACTAAGCCTATCTTTTTTGTTATAATCAACATAAAAATTCACATAATCAAGTTCAAGGCAGAATTTAATGAAATTTTAACTAAGTATTTTATCAAGTAAGGAGCTAGAGTTTCTTTAAAGTTTCCTTTAAAAAATCAGTCATTCAATTTAAATTCAAATTGTCTACAAAGAAAGGTAATTTTCATAGGTATTTTTAAAGAGAGCTGCCATGATGCTTTCTAGTATCTAGTATCTATCTGCCAGTATCTAACCATAATCAAGAAGCAACTGATAAGAAGCATTAAAAGAAAAAAAACCACTTCAAAACAATGATAAATCATGACTGCAAAGAAAACAAATATTCGGTGTTCTATGAAGACTGTAAGTCTTGCTCAAATCCAATGTTTTTTGCCACTTAGAATATTCTAGTATAAAGGACTGTTTTTGCTGTTCTTTGATCCAACAGTTTTGTTTCAGTATATGATATGTAAGCCATCCAAATGCCAAATTTATTTATCACATGTAGAATAAAGTATTATACCATTCATATTATAGTTTCTTCAATACGCAGAAATTCTCAGATGAAGCGAGAGAAAATCCTTTAAAACATGTTGAATTATTTCAGCCGTTTTTAATATCAACAACAATAACCTTCTGCATCAGTTCTGGGGGTTGGGAATGGGAGTTCTCTGGGGGTTGGGAATGGGAGTTCTCTGTGACTGGTTCCAGGCGGTATGAGTGGGGAAGGGCAGGTCAAGCCATAAGCCCCTGCAGTGTGGGGTGCCTCAGAGCTTGGGTCTCCCCCCTCTCCTAACATTCTACATGAAACCACTGATAAACTGTCTTTGGCTCAATCGTGACAAGATGGAATGGCTCTGGG